GAAAAGCTACTGCTCCTCATTGTAGACAGTACTGAACTGGATGGACCAAATGGTGTGACTCAGAAGTATATGGCAGCTTCCTTTGTTCTTAACAGGAGTTCCACGTTTTCCCAATGTCAAGATGCTGAGTCTGTATGCTGAGAAAACGTTGTGTCCCTACCACAGATGTACTACCTTCAGGAACGACGCCTGGAGTAAATAAGTGATCCTTACATGCTCATTGTGCTACATTTCATCTGTAAAACAGATGCCACATACCAAATCTTTTAAAACTATTGCTCTGTCTTAAATCATTTTAAAATACCCTGTAAATCAACACAATTTTCCAGAGGTGTTCCAAGATTTAATATCTCTCCTAGTGAGCTAGCATTTTCTCCCAGAGAATCAAATTGTGCTCTTTCAGCTACTATTGGATCAGATAATAATATAATAATATTCCTGTAGCCCACTGCAGGAATCCATGACAGCTGTGGAAGTTAGACTCCCTCCCTCCCTAAAGAGATCTTTGGCTCAAATGGAGGGGCTGAGAGTTCCATTCTCTGGGTTGCCAAAATTCTACTCACTGTGAATAGGGTCAAATGCATGGGCGTAGCCAGGGTTTTAGTTAGGGGGGGGGGCAGGACTTTTGCTGGGGGGGGCAGAACCAGCATGATTGGTCAGTTAAGTTATATATTTCTATTGTTTTACTTGACCTAGGGGGGAAGCTGCCCCCTGCCGCTGCCCCCTTTGGCTATGCCCATGGTCAAATGGGAACTTTGGTAGGCAAAGCAATGGAAATGCTGAGCTTATCCACTCTTACCTTCTGCCCCACTCTTTCCAGGCACAGGTCCATAATTTAAAGCTCCATGTCTGAGCATTGCCCTGAGCTTACCCTGTGAAAACCCACTCTTTAGCACTCAGTCAGAGCAAAGGTCAGTTCAGGGTTTCCACAGATAGCTGTTTGCTCAGACTGAGCTTTAAACGGAGGGATTCCGTGGAGCAAAAAAAGAAAAGGTGCTCAGAGACAGAGCTTTAATGCATGGACTGTGTCTGGTAACAGTGGAGGAAAGGGGAATGTGGATAAGCTACACTGATCTGCCATCCAGGCTGCTGGCTGGATGCTTGAGAAATATTCCCCTTTGCAGCCATCCTTTCGGTATATAGTAGGAGAGATCCAAGTAGGGAAAGAAAATTCTGCATGAAGGTAACCCATCCTTTCTCCTGGGGCTTTTTCCCTGCGTGTAATGGGTGCTGCATGCTGGTGATCAAAAATGATTGGGTCCGAGTCAAAAGCGGGCATTATGGAAAAACCAAAAGTATGTTAACGGGGCATGAGCTTTTCTCTCTCTCGCTGCCACCCTCTTTTCACTTTCTATCTTTGGGCTCATCCACATTCTCATTTGTACCATGATTTCTAGGCACAGATCCCAGAGGTTTATTTTTTGTCCCACCACTTTCCCCAGGAAAACCTGCTATTTACTGCTGAATTGGAACAAATGTCAGTTGGGTTTTCTGCAGATTGATGTTTGTTCCAATTCAGCAGTAAATGGTGGGTTTTCCTGGAGAAAACTGTGGAACAAAAGAAAAACTTCTCAGACCCATGCCTAGAAATCATGGAAATGGAAATAGAAATCTGGGGGACCAGGGTTCGAATCCCCACTCAGCCATGAAGCTCACTGGGTGACCCTGGGCCAGTCACCATCTCTTAGCCTGACCTACCTCACAGGGTTGTTGTGAGAATGAAATGGGAAGGAGGAGAACCATCTACACCACCCTGAGCTCCTTGTATATAAATGTAATAAATAAATTGTGGGACAAAGGGAAGTGTAAACTTCATGAGACTTTCTGGATCTTCACTTCAAAACTTTTTAAAGTCTTAGGTTATACAATGTGACTGAACTGTGTTTGCTTGCAGACAATAATACAGCTTTCTTTGTTCCCTTTTTCTCCTTGTATCACTGAACACTGTATTTAAACATACACACAAATGGATATAGTGTGTGTGTGTGTGTGTGTATGTGTGAGTGAGTGAGTGAGTGAGTGTATGTATGTGCGTGTACGCGCAAACACACACACACACACACACTTATACAAGTGCAGTGGTACCTCGGGTTACATACGCTTCAGGTTACATACGCTTCAGGTTACAGACTCCGCTAGTGCTTCAGGTTAAGAACTTTGCTTCAAAAAAACTGTTTACTCAAGGGCCTCAAGCAGAGACTGAGATAAACCAATTTATAAAGAGTCACGGTTTGCAAAAACTATCTCAAGACAAACAAACAACCCTGAATTACAAAATAACACAACAGGAAATTGAAAGTGCCATTCAGAATATGCAATTAGGCAAATCCCCGGGCCCAGATGGACTTACCTCCAAATATTATAAGATATTGAAGGAGCAATTGACTCAGCCACTAATGGAGGTATGCAATCAAATTATGGAAGGGAAGGGAGCACCAGAATCGTGGAAAGAAGCCTTCATCACTTTGATACCAAAACTGGAATCTGAAAAGACTCAACTTAAGAACTACCGTCCCATCTCACTCTTAAATGTGGATTACAAAATTTTTGCTGATATTTTGGCAAGTAGATTTAAAAAGGTTTTGAATGAAGTAATTCATAAGGACCAAGCGGGCTTTCTACCTGGTAGGCATTTGTCTGACAACATCAGGAACATTATTGATGTTTTGGAGTTACTGCAGACAAATTTGAACACGAAAGCAGTTTTGATTTTTATAGACGCTGAGAAGGCCTTTGACAATATATCTTGGAAATTTATGAAGGAAAATCTGGAAGGGATGGGAGTGGGAAGGGCATTCCAAAATGGTATTGAAGCAATCTATTCAGAACAAAAGGCTAAATTGATAGTGAACAACGTGGTGACAGAGGAGTTCAAAATTGAAAAAGGGACACGACAGGGGTGCCCCTTATCACCCTTGTTATTTATCTCTGTCCTGGAGGTGTTGCTGAATTTGATTAGGAAGGATCAACTGGTGGAAGGAATACAGGTCGGAGGAAAACAATACAAGCTGAAAGCTTTTGCAGATGATCTGGTTTTAACATTACAGGAGCCAGAACCTAGTACAAAAAGAGCTTTAGAATTAATTAATGAGTTTGGTCGGGTGGCGGGATTCAAGCTGAACAAACAAAAGACTAAGGTTTTAGCAAAAAACTTGACATCTTCAGAAATAGATGGGTTTCAAAAGGACATGGAACTAAAGGTGGTTAAAAAGGTGAAGTACCTGGGGGTTAACATGACTGGGAAAAATTTGAATTTGTTTAAAGACAATTATGAAAAATGTTGGTCAGAAATTAAAAAGGATCTAGAAATTTGGTCAAGATTGAAACTTTCCTTGTTGGGAAGAATTGCAGCTGTGAAAATGAATGTATTGCCAAAGATGTTGTTTTTGTTTCAAACCCTGCAGATCGTGGACAGAGTGGAATGTTTTGGAAAGTGGCAGAAGGACATCATGAAGTTTGTCTGGCAGGGCAAAAAGCCCCGGATAAAATTTAAAATACTAACAGACGCAAAAGAAAGAGGGGGATTTGCCCTGCCGGACTTAAGGTTATACTATGAAGCTGCGTCCTTCTGCTGGATGAGGGATTGGTTTTTATTGGAAAACACTGATGTCCTAGATCTGGAAGGGTTTAACAATGCGTTTGGGTGGCATGCATATTTGTGGTATGACAAGGCAAAGGCTCATAAATTGTTTAAAAATCATATTGTCAGGAAAGCTTTGTTTAATGTCTGGACTAAATATAAAGACTTACTTGAAAATAAGACTCTGAGGTGGCTATCACCAATGGAGGCTAAGGCCCCAAAAAGGCTTAACATGGAGGGTGGCTGGGCAAAATATTGTGAGATAATAGAAAGAGTCGGAGACAATTGGAAGTTGAAGAGTCTAGAAAAATTAAAGGACAAGGTGCGAGACTGGCTACACTATGCCCAAATACAATAAACTTTTAAAAAGGACAAAAAAATTGGATTCCAGGTGGAGAAATCGAAATTAGAGACAGAATTACTTGAACCTAAGATAAAAGTGCTTTCAAGAATGTATAATTTGTTGCTTAAATGGAACACACAGGATGAGACGGTTGAATCAGCCATGATAAAATGGGCACAAGACATTGGGTACAACATTATGTTTGAAGACTGGGAAAGGTTATGGACCACCGGTATGAAATTCACGGCATGTACTGCCCTGAAAGAAAACATTATGAAAATGATATACAGGTGGTACATGACCCCAGTCAAACTTGCAAAGATATATCATCTGTCTGACAATAAATGTTGGAAATGTAAGGAGGCTGAAGGAACATTCTTTCACCTCTGGTGGACATGCCCGAGGGTGAAGGCTTTTTGGGAAATGATTTATAATGAGTTGAAAAAGGTATTTAAGTATACCTTTCACAAGAAACCAGAGGCCTTTCTCCTGGGCATTGTGGGCCAGAGAGTGTTAAAGAAGGATAGAACCTTCTTTCTATATGCAACTACAGCAGCAAGAATCCTCATAGCAAAATATTGGAAGGCACAGGAGTTACCCACGCTGGAAGAGTGGCATACGCAACTGATGGACTATATGGAACTGGCTGAAATGACCGGCAGAATCCGGGACCTGGGAGAAGAGGCAGTGGAAGAGGACTGGAAAAAATTTAAGGACTATTTGCAAAAATATCATAAGTTATATGAATGTTGAGAATTTGCTAAGCTTGGTGAAAACAACTTCGGCAATTAAGTTTGATTATGGTGGAAATTAAGTTACGAGAGTGAAAGGACTAAATTTTAGAGTAATGTTTATATTTTCAGGATTGAGGGAAAAGTGAATACACAACAAGTACCCTAAATTTAAAATACAAATAGATGAAAGTACAAAAACGCATGAAACAAGGTATTAATTTGCTGTTATTTTTTTTATTTATGGTAAAGAATGCAGGGGGTGGAGGATGCGAGGAAGTCCAGTGGATTATGAAAAATTGTCTGCAAAATGTGAATTTTTTCTTCTTTATGATTTTTTTCCTTCTTTTTTGTAAAGTCGCTTTTGTTGAATTTTGGACGATGTATCTGACCTTGGAAAGAAGCAATAAAAAATATTATTATAAAAAAAAAAAACTTTGCTTCAGGATGAGAACAGAAATTGTGCTCCGACGGCGTGGCGGCAGTGGGAGGCCCCATTAGCTAAAGTGGTGCTTCAGGTTAAGAACAGTTTCAGGTTAAGAACGGACCTCCGGAACGAATTAAGACTCTATTTTAAATGCACAAGGCCAATTAAAGTTATTTTCTCATTGACAGCAAAGGCATAAAACATATTTTTGCAGGAAAATAAAGAATGCCATAACTGTTCTTAGTTGTTGTCAAGGCCCACTGTAATTCAAGCCTCTGGTTTCAGCTGTCACCGACCAACTGAACTCTTGGGGTTTGTTGTTTCAGTGGTACCCTCAACAGAATTATAGCTTATTTGTCAGCCCTGAAGCATGTATGATATTCAACGCCAAACCAGTTCAAATGGTCCTTCGGTTCTGCCACAACATTCCACACACTGTCCAAGGATTACCTATCTGTACGCAGAATGTGTTTTCATTGACATTAAATCCTTCCAAAAAGCTAGCAGGCAAATTTCTTCCCTCGTAGTGCTCTTGTCATACCAGGATGTTAGCCGTAACCCAGCACACCTTTTCAGAAACACTCAACAAGAAGAAATTGCAGAAAATAAATAAACAGAACTGTGCAGCGAGGGAGACCCACATTTTGATATGAACGTCTAATTCCCTTGCCTGTTGAGAGAGAGTGAGCATGAGGATGAACACAAGATGAGCTCTGCTTAATCAGGCCAAATACTTGTCAAGTCCAGCATCCTGTTCTCTAGCTAGATGCCTGTGGAAAGTCGGCAAGCAAGCTGTGAGTGCAACAGCGCCCTACCCACTTGTGATTCCCAGCAACTGGCATTTGGAGGCAAACTGGACCCAAAAAGTGGAGGTAGAGCATAGCCATTGTTGCAAGTAGCCATTAATAGCTTTATCCCCCATAGATTCGCCTCATCTTTTACAGCCATACAAGTGGGAGCAAATCCTATAGTTCAACTATGTACAGTGTGAAGGAGGGTTTTCTTTTGTTTTCTTCCAACATGCAGCATCGGTGGATGACCCCACATTCTGTTATTATGAGAGGAGGAAAACTCCCACTCCACTTTCTTTTTCTGCTGACTTTCCTGCCTCCGCCCCTCCCTATCACCTGCCATGACTTGGAAGAATAAGTAGGGAGTTGGTTCTACTCATTTAGGCTCCCCGTGCAATTAGAACCCTAGTAGGATTCTTCCCCCGCACCCCCAAAAAACATTTATTTAAAAGTTACAATACAATATATTTTCAATCAATATACACAGTCACCTCTGTGATGATGGTGGCATTAAAAGAACAATATATTTTAATAGAAGGATTCTAAAAACACATAGAGGAGGAGGAGGAGGAGGAGTTTGGATTTGATATCCCGCTTTATCACTACCCGAAGGAGTCTCAAAGCAGCTAAGAATCACTCTGTGAGGTGAGTGAGGCTAAGAGACTTCAGAGAAGTGGGACTAGCCCAAGGTCACCCAGCAGCTGCATGTGGAGGAGTGGGGAATCGAACCCAGTTCACCAGATTACGAGTCTACCGCTCTTAACCACTACACCACAGCAGTTTGGTTAGAGACCCTAAGCAAGTAAAAAAGGCTTTCCATTGCAGAATTTCACACCTGAAATTCTGGAGGGCTCTGGGGAGGAAGTGTTCGGACCCAGAGTTACATCTTTGTATGCTGTTTACAAGGCAACAAAGTTATTTTGGTTGACATATAAGTATTCCCTGTCCCCCATGATAATCATTGATGACTAATTTATCTGCTTTGGGCTTGGGCTTGGGTGCTTATCTGGGTTGGTAAGAAAACCCAGTAGAATTACTGGAGAATGGGCCCAATAACAGCAGACTGCAATTAGGTTTCAAAGGGAAACTTTGATGAAGGGACATAATTTTGCAGGCTCCCCGTTTTTGTGCATATAATTATTGTTCTCTGATTCCCCAGACTCACTTAGGTCTTGGGGATCTTCCAGCACAAGTAGAACAAACCAACAGCAAAAAAACCAACAACACCAACAACAAAAAAGTTCCAATTAAAATAAGCCAACCATTAAAATGTCACGGCCTAGAGTGCTCCTGTTCACTGTTCCTTCCATCCATGCACTTTTCAGGGATATTCCATTCTGTTCCATTCCTCCCACAAGTTTTCCATTTCTCTCTCCCCCTTCCAACAGGCAACAAGCATACTCTATTCTCATTGATCTGGTTTCAAAGTTAGGGGTGGGAACTTAGAAGGGGTTTTCCTGAAGATTTTTTTTTTTTTTTTTTTGTAATCCTGTACAAATCTTCAGGTTCTCCCCCCTCCCCCAAGCCTGCTGATATCTCCCTCCTATGTGTGGGTAATACCTTTTGGGCTGCATAAATAAGCCTGAGTAGTCATAGCCTGAACAGAGATTGGAAATAGAGAGAATGATGACGGGAAAACAGCCTAACAAAGGGAATGAAGTGATTTCTGGCTAGACTGGGAAAAGCCCATGGGAATGTTGTACAGGGAGCATTATGCAACTAGTAAAGAGAAGGACCAGATGGGGCTTAGGAGTTCTTTACCATCTATGACCTCAATAATGTTTTAACTGGCTGTTTGCTAAGGATCGGTTCCAACAACCAGCATGGCTCCTGCCTAAGTCTCACCAAAATAAAGAAGGCCGCATTAAAATAAAATAGTTTGTGCCTGATGTCAGCAGTATAATGGTTTACATTGTTAGCAGCGCAGTGCACTGAGCAAATCGCATATCTTACAGGCCGATCCTATGAGCCACTGACACACAGTATGATCCGTTCCCATATTAACACTGGAACAAGTCTTTGGACAGAAGCAGAAACTACTACAGTACTTCGTGTCAATAGTGTCAGCTTATTTGTGGAAACTATGCTTTAATCTCTAACCACACAAAAGAAAAAGGTTTTACAAAATGTATGGAAACCACTGGCAGAGGAACGGGGGTGCAGAGGGAGCGGACTGCCCCTGGCACCACAATTCCGGTAGGGTGTCATTGCGGCATACATCCCCGACACACTCCGTGTACCCGCGCAAGCGCCGGGCGCCATGCCCCAAAGGCAGCACATCACACCCCCAGAACACGCATTACGCCCCTGCAGGCAGCACACCACGCCCTCGTGGGCGGCACGCCACGCCCCCCAGGTATGCATCACCCCCCTGGGGGGCGCCAGCCATGCCCCCGCCTGCTCTGCCCCCCGTAGCGGAGTATGCAGCTTCACCACTGATGGAAACATCTATTCAAATATATTGTTGTGAGTTTGGGAGTGGGGTTAGGCTGTATGTCTGAGCCCCTTCTAATTCCTGGATCCAACAAGTATCCAGTTGCTGGAACAGTCAGACAAGTTTCTTGATAACGGCTTTAGTGTGGGTCGTTAAGGTAACAAAGGAAGTGGCTCTGTGCCAGAGCGCAAATGGGTGGGCCCCCTTCCATCAACTGACTGGTAGTTACAAAGACAAAGGCCAGAGTCGAGGGATGTGAGCTAGAAGCTGGAAGCAGGCTGGGCAGCTGGGAGACAGAGCTGTGCCTGATTTCTGTTGGAATCCAAGGCTGTGGCTGTGGGAGAAGCAAGACCCTCTTGGGGTGTTAATGCTGTGAGCCCCTCCACTAAAGGGTCAGGTTGTATATACGGTATGTGTAAATAAGCCATATATCCTAAAGACACCACAGTCTCTGCTGTTCTTCATTCTGAGGAAACCAAACTCTGGGTAAGCATCTGGAACCCCTGGAATCTCGCACTGCTCAGAGATTGGAGAGGTGTGAAACAATATTGATGCAGTGGCATATGCTATTTGCTAAACTGAGATCCCATTTCAGTGAGCAAAGTTACAATTATATTTTGTGGGAGGCTTTGTGGGCAGGTGGTAAGGAATATACATAGAATAGCAGCCAGAGCTACAGTACAATTCAATTTATATGAATGGCCTTAGATAAGAAGAAGAAGAAGAGTTTGGATTTGATATCCCGCTTTATCACTACCCAAAGGAGTCTCAAAGCGGCTAACATTCTCCTTTCCCTTCCTCCCCCACAACAAACACTCTGTGAGGTGAGTGGGGCTGAGAGACTTCAGAGAAGTGTGACTGGCCCAAGGTCACCCAGCAGCTGCATGTGGAGGAGCGGAGACACGAACCTGGTTCCCCAGATTACGAGTCTACCACTCTTAACCACTACACCACACTGGCTCTCCACACTAGATAAGCAGAAACAGCATCATTCCAGTTCAAACAACCTGCAAAATATCTAGATAATCATACATTTGAATTAGCTGCGATGCTATTTGCATGCAAGCAGTTGCACAGATGTACAGGTAGATAGCCAGAATTTCTGTTTTAAAATGGTCAGACAGTAAGACTCTATTGTATTAGCGAGTGGAAATAGATAACCACTAACAAAATGGCATCTGCTTAAATACATATTGTATTGTGGATAGAACTGGATGGAGAGGCAATTAGCTGTAGCTTCCTGCTATACAATAAACTAAGCAGTGCCACACCTCTGCAACTACTTGGAAACCCAGACAGCCATGGAAATGGGTGAGGAGATTAATGGAATATCAGAACAGATCTTACCATGAATTGTTCAGCAATAGTGCAAGCTCAGCTTCCTCCCAGTTTCCTCTGTGCTTTGCAACTGAAATGACAGACATGCATAACAGCAATTTGTCATTGAGCCATCAGTCTTGTCCTCCCCACATGCTTCAAGCATTCTGTCCAGCTTTGATATTTTTTTAAGCACTATACTACACCAACATTTAAGCACATCATTCTGCATTTTAGTAATGGGCTGCATATAGTTCAGTCATAATTTAAAAACCTCTGCATCTACTAAAAAAAGATAATCTTTTTTTTAAAAAAAACAACAACAACAACCTTGAGTATCAGGTGTCTTGTTAGAAAAAGCATTCTCTCTCATCCCAGGGGGAATGTTTTTTCTAAGCCAATGCCTACTGTAACACATATAGTCACCATTTACAGTGGTACCTTGGTTTAAGAACAGCCCTGTTTACGAACTACAGAATGAACGTAATTCATTCTGGAGGTCTGTTCTTAACCTGAAACTGTTCTTAACCTGAAGCACTACTTTAGCTAATGGGGTCTCCCACTGCCGCCGCACCACCGGAGCACAATTTCTGTTCTCATCCTGAAGCAAAGTTCTTAACCAGAGGTACTATTTCTGGGTTAGCGGAATCTATAACCTGAAGCATCTGTAACCTGAAGTGTCTGTAACCCGAGGTAACACTGTATTCGGTTTACGAACTCCACAAAACCAGAAGTAGTGTCCTGGTTTGTGAACTTTACCTCGGTCCAAGACCGTAAGCCGAACGGTGGAAGGGCACCGGCAGCAGGAGGCCTCATTAGGGAAAGCGTGCCTCGGTTTAAGAATGATTTCGGTTTGAGAACGGACTTCCGGAACGGATTAAGTTTATAAACCGAGGTACCACTGTATATAAAAGGAAGCAATTTGTTTCAATTCATTGTTTCTCATATACAAACCATGGAGATTTAATCAAGCAATGAACAAGTTCATTATTTAAAACTCATGTAACTAATAAACTAGTATTCATTTTATTTTTTTAAGTGCAAAACTGCTCCAGGAATTAGAAGGGGGAGATCATCACAGGAGCCTCATGCACAGCCGGCTTCTGCTTCAGAGCTTGACCTTGGAGAGAAAATATATGCTTGGACTGAATAGAACTGGGGTCTTCACTGCTCTAAAAATGCCACATTTGTCTTCATCCTTGATTTCTCATGTGACAGATTCTATAGGCCTCTCCAGATAGGTACGGCTGCCATGCAGCAGATGTGTCCACGGCTATCATCTCATATGGTTAGCAGTCATCTGTTTCCCTACTCCATTGTTCCAAGGTGAATTTTTGTTTCTCAGCATATTCCAGACTCAACAGCTCATAATTTGCTAAAATGGTACCTTACATAATAGGATTCCCATGAGCAACTCTTTTTTTGTCTATTGTGGCTCTATTAGGGGACAATTTATGGTGTTGTCTTCCAGATGTTGTTGGACTCCAACTCCCATCAGCTCCAGACAATATGAGCAATGGCCTGTGATGATGGAAAGTGTAGTCTAGCAACATCTGTGGGACCACAGGTGCTACACCACTGATCAATTCATGCAAATACATTCCTCCCATGTCATTACATCTAAGTCACCCTTCTCCAACCTGGTGCCCTTCAGATATTGTTAGACCACAACTCCTATCATTCTGGACCATTGGCCATGCTGGTTGTTGGGCCTGATGGGAGCTGAGAGTTCAATAAAACCTGGAGGGCACTAACGTTGAGGAAGGCAGATCTAATTGCTATAATCTGACCTCTAAAGGGCCAGCCTTTGTTGTCACTAAAAACTGGGACAAAAGTCTGCTGAATCTCCACATTGCTTCTGAATAGCTATGAATAATGAAATTGCTGGAAATGTCTTCATCTGGGCAGCCACATTTTGAAGACTCTTTTATGATAGACTATCCCCAGTTAGCAAAGAAAGCTGCAATTTTCCCCCAGCTAGGACAGCAGTTAGTGAAATCATGCCTGTTTATCATTATCTGTCTCATATTAGCTGTAATCGCATCACAGTTTTGTTTATATATACAAGTAATGCAAACCATGCATAGCCTAACTTTGACTCAAAAGATTAAAGTAGATACATAATTCTGGCAAATTGCTTGGAATTATGGTTTAACAGCATCTGGTTCAGATATTCTGCAGTAAATTGCTGGAACCAGTGCTGCCTGTGTCCGTACTTTTTCCCCCTCCTCTCCTTTTATTTGAACCAAAAACACGTGTCTTCCATCCATTTTCCATGTAATCAGTTGTATAAAACCCACAAGCCTTTGAGAGAAGGAGGTGAAATCAAGATGCTATGGTGGACCACCTTTAAAGCCTTCACAAAAACTAGGGTGTTCACAGCTAAGATTATCAAGAGATTGCTAATGATGCAGCAACTGGCATCATCTGGAAGACAACCAAAATGACATCTGCATCTATCCCCCATCATCCTACACAACTTTGGAAGCTGTCAACTACAAAGTTTGATCGCTGGCCTGCCTTGCTCAGATCAGCTCTGCACTGAGAGGTAGCACATCTCTCGCAATTCAGAAAGGGGTCTTTTCCAGCCCTGCCTGCAGAAGGCAGTGATTCAGCCTCTGCATTCAAAATAGATGTTTTGCCACTGAGCTGTGGCCCTTCCATGCAAGTGTGCCAAAATCAGAGGTCAAGTATTATTTATTCATTTAATACTCACCAGAGGTGCCAACTTCCACCTCAGATTGAGGGGCCCTGGTATGTGGTGCACATGTATGATGTCATGTGCACAACACATGATGTGCATGTGTCATTACATCATTGGGAGGAGGCTGAGGGCAGAGACCGAAGCAGTGCAGCTCAAGGGCCAACGGATCCTCCTTCCTTGCACTCAGGAGGAGCCAGCCACTGAAGCTGTGCCATGCTCAGCTCCACGCTCAGCCTCCCCTGCCCCCTCAACATTGAGGGGGCTCAGTCCCCTCCCAACAGATATTGAGGGGGCCAAAAACACCTTGGTGCCATAGAGTTGGCATGCCTGCTATAACCCACCCTGCATTCCAGGGCGGGTTATAGCATTAAAACAATATATTAAAAACAATTTAATACAGCTTACAACTGTAAAAATAAGGTGGCTCCTAAAAACATACACCTCAAGTGTCAAAAGCCAGAACAAGAAGATGCATCTTCCAAAAGCTGTATAATGAAGGTGAGAGGCACACCGCTGTAGGGATGGAGTTCCATAGCTTAGGAGCCACCACAGAGAATGCCCTCTCCTGTGCCGCTACACATCAAGCCTCTGAGTGCAGAGGAACTACCAGGAGGGCTCCCTATGCCCATCTCAGCGAAAAGGTATAAATAACTGCAGAAAGTTCAAGTATGTGAACAAACTCAAGGCAAGGCAAGGAATGTGCTATGGAGAGAGGCAGAAAAATCCCCAGCATTATAACTAGTTAGTTTGACCGGGAAAGTAGGAAAAGTAGTCCCAAAAAAGAAAAGCCAACTCTTGCCAAAGGAGAAAGCTCTGGCACAGCTAGAATGGCTTCAAAATATTACAGAGATGGGGGTGGGGGGAAAGGTAACTCCTAATGGTTTCTAGGCAAAGCCAAAACTCACAGATCATGTGATGCCCCAGCAATATGCAATATACCTGCATCCAGAAATCATGCATCATCACAGGGTAGATGCGCAAGTTCCCACTTTACACAATACACAGGAAGTGTACGAAGAGGAAGTGCTTCCTCCCATCTGCTTTCTGGGTAAGATCTAAAGTTTCCCTCACAAGTTCCCAGTTGACCAGCCTGGCAATAGCCTACATCTCCTTCCTTTTCCAAGAGCAGCTGAGCAGTTGGCACAAGTCGTAGCAGGAAACAGCTGGGGATAGTTGTGTGTGTGTGTTCGGTAAAAGAAGAAGCAGCAGCAGCAGCCCAATTACATTGGAGCAGAGACGACAAAGCTGGAGGTAAATATATTTAAATTAGATACATGGATATTCAGGTCTTTGCACAGGGGCTACTTCTTTTTGACTTGCACTTTTTGCGGTCACAGAGTGATGGTACCTGTGTGGAATTGATGGACACAAGATATGCTCCATTGCTACATGCAAACAGCAAACTCCGTTGAGTTGACATCTTAGTGGAGCCACAGGAGGAGAAAATTAGTCATCTGCCGCAGAATCAGTACTTCCACAAGGTAAAGCCATAACGAGATCTCATCCTGTCAAAGTGACCAATGAGGGTTTAGGACCAATATTCTGTGTTTTCATTGCTTAGATCAGCAGCCCATCATAATCTTCAAATCCAGGATATGATTCATCTGCATAACACACTAGGGGCGTCTCTAGATGATCTATTTATTGAGCATTCCTCCTGATTTATTTGCGCAAAGCTAATGTGGTGGCATGACTATGTGTGGTCTTTAATGAGTATTTGTTCTCATTTGTTTGTGGGGCGGTTATATGACAAGGAGCATTCATTCTTATGTTTCTTTCTGGGTGCTTACATGTCTTCCTGATAATCACACTTTTCAACACGTGTCTCCATCACCTTCCAAACTGTGAAAAGTCTATTAAAAAAAAAAGTAGATGTCTCGCACTGGGGCAACTAGCAAATGTTTTGAACCTTTATCTGTTTTCTGCCTTTAATGGCAAAGAGTTTGCAACTTCAGCAACCTACGCAGAAAATGGGCTAACTCAAAACTATTACGCAGGCTATTGTCTAAGGTATAAAGGGGGTAGCCTGTAAACACAGGTGATGGTTGCTTTGCTGTTGTCCTACAGGACTGCCGTTTTCAAAATGGTGCAATTTTAGCATTTTGTTCTGCCCATACCTCTCTTTGTATCAAGCGCAGTAGTCACATGCCCAGTTCATGTCCCACATAAAAAGCAAATGATTACATGAGTAAATACCAGTTTTTAAAATATCACAGTGCGGCTGTTCTAAATATAAAAAGTTAGGCAGGATTTCTGACACCTATAAATCTTTCAAACAGTTCATATTTTATCAACCAAATAGGCCTTTCTTATAAAATCAGAAAATAACTCCTCACCAAGACGATTTTTCAAATACTTGACCTTTTCATAAAACAACCAGAGGGGAAAAAAGGTGTTTGAGCCATTTAAAATATCATTCCTACTGCTATTTCTTCCATAGCATTAGTTTTATTTTCTTCATTTTATGGTCACCTAAAAATAAAGTTTTCCTCCCATTTATTGTAATGGTTTTGAATTTCAAATACTTTTTTAAAAAAAATTAGGTCAAAGAGGGTTGCTGATTCAGTTTCTTGTCCACCTGATTCAGTTTGTTGAAGTAACACACATTACCACCTAAAGACAAGCACCCTCCTCCCATTTTAATGGTCTAAAATTAACTGAGAGCACCACTGCTTGTATCATCCCCAGGGAGCCATTTATTCTACAGAGCTTCAAAGGGGAGTTTTGGAACTCTGCTATGCCTCACAGGTACTTACTGTCCTTCTTTTCCAAGTAGTGTCAAAATGTTCCAGTTCTATATGCATATTCCTGAAGATCTGCCAAAAATGACCCAGATTTAAACTATAAGGAGCTGAAATTCTGTAGGAGACCAATTTCACATAAGAAGAGCCCTGCTAGATCAGACCAAAGGCTTATTTATGCCCTTAATATAATTATAGGCCTCCTTTCCTCCAAGGAGCTCAAGGTGACATACAGGAAACCCTATGAGGTAGGTTAGGCTGAGAGACTGTGACAGGCCTAAGTTTGCCTGGTAAATTTTAGATCCTAGTCCAACACTCTAACCAATATGCTACACTGGATCCAGCATCCCACAGTGGCCAATCAGATACCTCCAGGAAACTCAGAGGCAGATCATAGGAGCAGTTGGCCTTGCCTGCCGTTGCTCCCCAGTGACTGGTATTCAGAAGCATAGTACCTGTGATCCTAGGTGAAATCTAGACACATATAAAAAAATGCAGCGAAAATGATTTTTTAAAAAAGTTTTGAAAAAGATATTGCATTTGCCATAGCTCACTATCGCCATCTAGTGTCACATTTGTATAATGCACTTTACAACACACTTAAAACGTTTTATTTGCGGCTGTATAGCTGAGTCCCTAGTAGTATGCAGCCATCATGACTGCAAACCATTGGTAGGTTTGTTCTCCATGAATTTGTCAAAGCTTCTTTAAAGTGATCTAAACTGGTGGCTGCCATCACATTTTGCATTTTGTGTTGTGAAAGCTGTGGTAAAAGTAAAATATGTGGAAATCTGCATCTATAGCTGGGTTAGAATTCAGAAGTACTTGAGGCCTATCACAAGAGATGGAAGTTAAAGGGCCGGATTCAACAAACCCAGTGGGCTAGCACAAGCTAGCGCAGTGGGGCCCCCCCCCAATTTTCCCTATGTACTCCTGTGCCTTCCCCCAAATCTGCTCTGGGGAGGGTAATGAGAACCCCCCAAAACAGGGCATGGGTAGTGTGGTCATATGTCTGGAATTTCCTGGACATACCTGGAATAATGGAGTTGGAAAAAGTGTCTGAGAGGAAACCAGGAAAATCCAGATATGTGGCAAGTCATGCCGGCAGTGTCATCTCTGCTGATTCCCCTTAAAATATTAGCTGAAAAACAGCGGGGGTTTTTTGCTCAATAACTTTGCCTGAAAAGCTCAACAACTACTCTTGGGGTGGGTCAGAACAGTGGTGCTGAATTCCTCCCAAAGAATTCTGTGAGGAATCAGAGCCCATGATGTGGTAGATTCACCACAGGAAGGCCCTAAGAACATATGAAGAGTCCAGCATCCTGTTCTCTCAGCGGCCAGCCGGATGCCTGTGGGAAGCATGCCAGCAAGCCATAGCATTATATCCACTTGAGATTCCCAGGTATTCATGGGTAAACTGCCTCCAACACTGGAAGCAGTGGCCATTGACAGCCTCCGTGGACTTTTCTAAGCCCCTTCTGAAGCTACCCGAGGGGGTGTCTAAACCTGCAAAGCTTAAAAGAGAAAGCATTCCTACTTCCCTTTTAAAACAGGACTTACTCATGCTCAATTCATTTCTGGAGCTGACTGCCTTGGTTGCCATGGTGAATGCTGAGGAATGGACAGGGGAGGGTGACCTTGCTGATTCTCCTGGATCACTTTGTGCTGTTTTCATGGTGCCTCTAGTCTAGGCCTTCCTGAAAAGTATGTTCCCAAAGGTGGTGCTGGGGAATTTCTGTTCTACTCAGTGGCCTTTGTCTTGCAGGATGCTACAGGAGTCCGTCACCAGCATGTCCCCTGCTCTCCAGGAATCTGCTGGGGAAGGAAGGGTGTCTGGAGCTTGGAAGCGCAGTGGCATCAATATGCAGGTGACGCCCAGTCATGCTCACAAAGATCAGAAGACCCAGCCTTGCATAAAATGGTAATAATGCTGCGGTTATTTTTTTAATACTTCCTAATAGCTATAGCAATTCCATCAGCAGAGGTCAGACTGCTGCTGTTTCGGGTCATTTGTTTGGTTTGACCCACTCAAGCACAACTGCTAAATCCATTTCCTTGCCAGAGAAACACTCTTGACAAGCAATCACATGCAGTCTGAAGTGAGAAGGAAGAGGCGTCAGACACGCACCCTTCTAAATTAGACTTCGTCAACCTGCTGCCCTCCAGATGTTTCGGGTGGCAACACCTATCAGCCTCAGCCAGCATACCAGTGATGTGAGCTGCAGTCCAAAAACATCTGGAGGGCGGCAGGTTAGTGAAGGCTGCTCTAAATGGTATCCCTCACTAACCTCCAGGCTTGTGCATTTATGCATTAGTTCCATGCACAATAATTCCTCAAGTAGCAATTAAACCTGGCTCCCTCCTTCTTTCCAACAGCTCTGAACACTGGGAAACTAACCCAGATCCCCTAAAAGGCAAAAGACAGTCCAGACAAAAGGAAGAGGGCATAAAGTATGCTTTGGCTTTGAAATCTGAACTATCTGGTCCCTACGGCTGGAACATCTACACTGGTGTCCAAGCACAAAAGCACCCTGGGGAACACAAACTAGCTAGAACATCATGCTCTACTGTGGAATATTTTCAGCACTTATTTAGGACCAGACATGTAAAGTCTCTGAGACTAAAGGCATTTTGGGGGCTAAATACATCACTAAAAGCAGGCCAGAAGTGTGAGTCTGGAGTACTCTGATGGGCGCAAAGCATGTCTCCACCGCAGATTTTCATGCTTCCCTTCTACTTTAAGCTGTATTCATTGGTTCACATATCTAGAAATGCTTTCCTACTGCTTCCAGTGCCTCCAGAATAAGAAGTGCATCATGACCTGGCCCCTGGAGAATTCTGTGAGAAGAGATTCTGAGCAGATTTGGGCTCTCTTGAGAGCTGAAGTGAGGTCCAATTCAAACATGCAAAAATAGCACATGGAGGAAGACATCCCTCAGGAAAGGCACTGCTTTAGAATGCAAAGGGGATTGTGTGTTTGAATGCACCAGTTATGTAAAACAAAAAAACTCACTGCATGTAGGCAGGGGAAAACGCTAAACTTAAATTATTCTCTCTGCCATGTTAGCTTTCCACAAGCAGAGATGTTTGGTGGTGTTTTTTAACAGGGCTGGACCTTTAGAGGCCCTAAGCATTTGAAAGATTTGGATGCCCCCGTATATATATATCTAATTCAAAATATAAACAATAATAAACTGTAAAATATAATTTTATTTTTCAAAATGAAACAAAATCTAGAGCAAGATGAAAAATAATGTTTATTTTTGTATACTTCCACTTTATTTATACTTGAAAATAATTCCCCTACTTTTTGTAATTGCAAAGTCTTTGATCAGATCCTGAAAACTAACCTTACATAACACATCTGCTTCTATGCTTAGTAGAGATACAGCATCCAGCCTGCCTTGTTGTATAGTTGTTCTGTTGGGATTTTTAATATACTTCAGCTGAGAAAAGGAACACTCAGCTAAGCAATTTGTGACCATGAATGTTAAGAATCTGGCAATGGAAAATTTCAGTGGTGACATGCTTATTTTGCTTAATGGTTCAGCCAACCCTGGGTTTTTTTAACATGGGGAAACCTGCAGGCTGTAGTGATTCAATCATAGGGGGATACCATCAATATGCTTGTTCTGCACATTTAAATTAACCCAAAATCATCCACAGCTTCTTGACAGAAACTGTCAGCCAAGGCCTGTTTTACTAACAGAAAGCAAAGGAAGGTGGAATCTACTGTTCACTGGTCTGGACTAAAACTATTTTAGATTTATTGAAAGACAAAAAAAATGCAAACTGTACTTCACATTGTATATAGTCCCAAATGACAAAGAAGCACCATGGGGTTCCCTAGATCTAACCAGGTCTGCTACAGAGTGAGAATTTTGATTTTGTATGTTTTGTCCACTTTTTGCTTTCAGTGGCAGGAATCTGTCATCGCAGGCATTTCTGCTTGGCCCCCAGAACAATCTCCCCTCTCCTCCCTTGTGTGCTGTTGTGGGGCTTCTCCTGAGACACACACCTGAGACATTCTGATGACAGAGATGGGGGGAGCCCTGTTGTGCTAGCTGCTCTTCCTCCAGTGGGACCACTCAGTTGAACTTGGCCCTGTAAGCTGTATCCTGAGCCTAGCACTGGTCACTAAAAATGCATTGCAGCACTTCTCCTGTCATTTCTGAAACCTTGCAGCCCTTCCAGGATCCTCAGGAGTGCTCAATACTGCAACTGCAGTTGTAAAAGTGCCCTCAGCTGCTTCTCCCTCACTGTAGCAGCTCCTGCTGTGCCCCTTGCCTAACCTTTCCTGATGAGGGGCAAGGGAAGCTGGTGCCATTGGCGCTCAACACCTCATGGTACCTGGAGTACCCTGAAGTATGAGAATATAGGTGGGTATATGTATGGGGGACACGGGTGGCACTGTGGGTTAAACCACAGAGCCTAGGGCTTGCTGATCAGAAGGTTGGCAGTTCGAATCCCTGTGATGGGGTGAGCTCCTGTTCCTCGGTCCCAGCTCCTGCCAACCTAGCAGTTCGAAAGCACATCAAAGTGCAAGTAGATAAATAGGTACCGCTCCGGCGGGAAGGTAAACGGCATTTCCATGTGCTGCTCTGGTTCGCCAGAAGTGGCTTAGTCATGCCGGCTCCCTCGGCCAATAAAGCGAGATGAGCGCCACAACCACAGAGTTGTCCGCGACTAGACCTAATGGTCAGGGGTCCCTTTACCTTTATGTTTGGGAGGGTACATGTCTTCACCCCAAAGGAAAGCAATGCCCAACCTGGTGATAACAGAATAAATGATGTAAGAGGAGGGAGCTGCAGCCCAATATAAGAAAGGAGGTGATAAGGGAACACCTAACTACTTTAAATGAATTCAGATCTCCAGGGCCTGATGAGGTGCACCCAAGGGTAAGGGTACCAAAGGAACTTGCAGATGTGATCTCAGAGCCTCTGTTCTTTGAGAATTCTTGGAGAACAAGTGATGTCCCTAGAGACTGCAGGTGAGCAAATGTTGTCCCCATCTTCCAAAAGGGGGAAAAAGAAGAACCAGGTAACGACTGGCCAATACCAGGAAAGGTCCTAGAACAGGTAATTCAATAGTGGGTCTGTGAGCACTTAGAAAAGGACGCTGTCCTGCTGGATGACCTTGGGCCAGTTGCCATCTCTCAGCCTAACCTACCTCACAAGGTTGTTGTGAGGTTAAAAGGGGCGGGAGTGTGTCTTGCCACCTTGAGCTCCTTGGAGAAAAGGTGGGGCAGCCTAAGTCCTGACAAATAAAGAAAGATCCACATTTGGAGAATTCGTTCGCTATAAGGTTCTTAATAAATACATTCCCTACACCTCCTTCGTGAATGTCTCTGAATTTTCCCTTACCCTTCTTATTCCTCCACCAGTTTAGCCTCCAGAAACCTTAACAAAGACACTTCGACGACACCCCCCGATGCTTTGTACGGAAAGGCTGCGAGGTTTGTGGAAGAGGAGCTGAAAGGCGCGCGGCGGGGCTGGGAGGGGGGGGCGGTGTGTGCGCCGGAGCGGAGATGAGGGAAGGGTCCTCCATGGCTGTGCTGTGGAGTGTCACGTCTTCCTCCCAGGGGCTCCCCTCCACTTCAGGAGGTGAGAGTGGATTTTCTCAAGTGCATTTTGACAGCTGGGAGCAAGGGGATCGCAGCAGCAGCAGCAACAGCTGGAGACATTCCTCGCCGCGCCCCTCCTCCGGCAAGCCGGCTGTCCCTGGCGAAGAGAGTCCGAAGGGCCCGCCCGCTTGCCTGCCCGCCCCCTCGGCTGCTGCTGCCTGCATTACAGCAGCCAGACAGGACCCGGGCACTCCGCGCCGCTCTCCTCCACTGGAAGGCCGGAGGGGAGAAGTTGCAGGAGGTTGGCGGCGTCTGCCTGATGAAACCTCTGAAAGCGATTGCTGCAGCGGGGCGTGGGGGGGGGTGGGAAGGAGGAAGGAAGGAAGAGGAGCCACCCCGATCCCTGGCACACACACCCCATGGTCACCTGCTGAAGGCTTCCATCGCCTTCCTTAAGGAAAGCAGCTGCTGCCGGAAGGCTTTAGGTGGGAATCCCGAACGCGCCACCGGGGAGGGCGGGCCGCCTTGCCCCAGAATCCGCGCCTCTCAATGCGGATGGGGAGGAATGCGGGAGGATCGGGCTGTGGATGAGGGTTGAGGCACAGCAACCAGATGATGCAACGACTGCGGTGGGGTTACACAAGAAAAGGATCGCCGCTTCTCCCCCACCCCCCAAAATATCCCCAAAAATCTGGGCGAAAGGGGAGGCGTGCGCTAAGGTTGAGGATGGAGACGGTTCCGTAGGGGGGGTACAATAAAACCAAGCTTGCCATTTGAATCCCCCCACCTCCACTTTGCATTAGGGTCCAAATCTATGTATCAGGTGTTATTTTTTAATGGGGAGAGAGGGCAGTGCGGGTTCCCCACCCCACCATTATAAACTGCTCGCTCCGTGTATCATGAAGAAAACGAGCCAAGATTAATAAAGTACTGCTCTAAAATTCAAATGTTAACCGCAGCGTGCAACGGGGGTTCTTCGATCGATCCAAAAGGCGAAAGTGTCCTTTTGTTCGGGTTCAGGTGCTACACCGGATATCAGATAAGCTCCCTGCCGTGCCCGCCGCCGCCGCCCCCCACCCGCTTCCGAAGGAACACGTGTAGATTGGCGACGCCCTGGGCTCCCCCGGCTGCAAAAGCACATGGCTCCGTCTAGATCGCCTGCTCGAAATCCGATCTTCGCAGGCTTCGCTCGGTTGCCGCGTGAGCCATACATACCGTAGACGCGCTTGCACGGTGCCGGCAGGCAGGCAGGCAGCGAGTCTTGCTGGTGCTTAGCAAAAGGTATCGCTAAATTCATCACGGAAACGACCTGGCCCGATTTCCAAACTACTCATGCAACCCCTCCCCCCCCCCCCGTTAGCAGCGCGAGTCTTGCAAGACCCACCGTCCGCATCGCCTGCAAGACCTTCCCTTTTCCCGCTGCTGCTTGCAAGCTATTGCCCTTGCAGAGCCACGCTTTTGTTTCTTAGCGTCGCCTCCCCCCCCCTTTAATCGACTTCCTAACGACCGAGCAAATAAGCGCTCCGCATTGGGAATGTAAGGACGCTGCAAGGCGCAGGAAGGCGGGAGCGCGATCCACTCGCTGGACCACGCTCGCCGGTGCATGCTTTTGCAACCTGCTGCACTTTGCAGCGACTTTCCCGTCCCGAGCTCTCCGGAGTTGCTCGCTGGAGTGTGTAGTAGTTGAGCGCAGGCCACGCCCCCCGAGCGTGGTGTCAGAGTGAAAGAGAGGCTCCGGTTGGTCGGCTGGGCGGACAACATCTGCTCGACTCCTTCATTCAAGTGACACCGGAGCTTTGAGGGATATTTGAGGCACCATCCGTTCCCTTTCCTGGCCACTTCTCGCACTTGTACCAGCGCCGATCGCACGCTCCGAGCGAGGCTTGGGAAAGATCCGGGATCTCTCGTCTTGATCACCCCACGCTGCGCGCACACTTTTTTCCTTGCAAAGAAGTGTGTGTAAGAGAGAGGGCGAGCTCTCCTCCGGTCAGTGCTGTTGGCGTAGACATCGGGGCCATGCATGCTGCAGAGTGGTTAGGGAAATTCGTGACCCTGGCTTTGGTCTTTGCAAGCTTGGATCCGGTGGTGGGCACGGAAGCCACCAACCCTCCGGATGGTGCCCAAGATAACAGAGCGCCTCAGCAAAAAGGGCGCCTGTCTTTGCAAAACACAGGTATGTTGGGCTTCCTTTCCAGTATCATCAAACCGTATCGGCATGTGAGTCTAAACTCGGAAGGGGAGCAAACCGGCATTTTAAGTTCGGGGAACTGGCTCTCTGGGTGCTGCGTTCCTGTGCAGCGTGGAAGGCTCAAAAGAGGCACGGCATCGCAGGGAGGGAGCAGAAATCGGTTTTTTTAGAAAATAAAAAGGCTTCCTGTAGTTTGGAAGCGCACGTGCTTGTTCCCCTGTTGGAACTGCAGACCGCCGAGCTGTGCTGCCATCTAAGTAAGGCAAAAGGAGCTCATCGCAGACAGAAGACGGGGAGGACCAGAGTGAAAGTTAGACCAGGTAATAATTATAAGCCGAGGAGAATACGTGCTTGCTCACTCTCGCTTGCTCACTCCTTTTTTCCCCCCTTTTGCTATAAAAAGATTTTAATGACTAGTCCTTTGCGTGTCTTTGCACGTTCCATACTGGTCAGCTCTCTCCCATCCTTTAATTTTCAGCAAGATTCCGGAGGCAAAAGTCTTAAAGGGGAGGCGGGTAGGAAACAGTAGAAAAAACCGCCTTGCTGGTACAAAGGATGCTTCCTGAGCGCAGGTTTAGGAGCCGATTGAGAAAGAAAAAGAGCACTTGGAACGTGCAGACCTAAGTAGAACTGCTGAGTCTTTCTCTCTATTTTTTTTTTCCTGCCAGGAGAGGCGTGCAGTGATGCAATTCACCACAGGGGGTTTCCTCTCCTTTTCCGTCTTCCCTCTTTTGTGTGTGGGGGGGGGGGTTGCGCGTGATCTCTTTAATGCATACTGGTCGCATAAGTCACAATGCAGTGCAGTTTCCTTGGAGGAAACCTGCCAGGCCTGAATTGAAAGAAACAGAGGGAAGCAGCACACACACCCTCCAGTTCTCCCCAGGTTTAACTGTAGTGGAATTTGCTGCTGCAAAGCTTTGATTAAAACACACACATGCAGGAATGCCCAAGTGCCACATGTGAATCTGAGGCCAGGACGTGTGATTGGAACCGCATTTGCATCTTACCCAACACAAGCACTACATCTGGCCTCTTGGAACACCTACACAGAGAGACAGACAGACACACACACACACACACACCCAAGCTGCATACTTACACAATGTTTGACAAAGAGCCCCTTTTCCCCATCTGCTATGCACAGCTTCTCCTGTGTCTATAGAATTCAGTACAGTGAGGTTTCCTTGAGAAGGAAATATAGGAGATGCAGCTGCAAAATCCGGCTCTGGGTCTTCTGGCCCTTTGTCCAATCAGTGTTTTAAAAAAGGAGGAATTCCTACCTGCTTGTTATTTATTTTGCTTAACCAGGATCCCTCTCTCTTAGCTTGGCTTCTGTGTGCCCTTTTAAGGAACGCCCATTTTCTTTCATGTATGTATTTTAATTATATTTTTTATAAACTGCTTCATCATTGGAGAAAACCCAGAAGCGGTGTATGCAATATAAAATGAAAATCGAAGGATCCGTGCCTTGAGCTGCCAGGGTTAGATGAGAAAGGCTGGAAATAGCTTGCAGAGAGTGATACATAAATGTGTACTAGGGCAATGGCTATCTATATGGCACTCAAAACCTTTCCCTTTTACTTAAAATGTCACAGTGCTATTTGACTTGAATTTTTTAGACTTCTCAGCAGCTGCGTCAGTACACACACACATTAACACATTATCAGTATTTGAAGTTTACTGGCAATGTTTAAATAATCTGCACAAAGCATGGAAGGAAAAGCTGGCTGGTTTTACTGTTGCATGCATGCGTGTGAACGTTGTCCTATGGTAGCTGAATTGGGTTTCAGTGGAACATATACTTGCCCCATTTAACACAGTAGTACAGTATTTACTTCCAAGTAAACGTGTGCACAACTGAATTGCAAATGTGTAATGAATATTGGGGGGTGGTAAATGGCAGTGCAGCAAAAGCTTGTAGCAAAAAGACTCTTTTTTCCTGTAGCTATACTGTATTAGGAGTTTTGTAATTGACTTCAGTAATCTGGGGGAGATGGGCCCAACCGTAAACCAATCATCAAGGCACTTGTTCAGATTAGAAAATCTTGACAATTCACTTTCTCAGTATCTTCAGGTACAAGAATCTTGGAAACCTTGTTGCGAATATTGCTTTAAGAGCTCTTTGGATCAGATTTGCCACATGAGACAATGGCTCTGAGTAGAATGGGAACACCAAACACTGACTTTGCATTTCTGTAACTAAATGCTTGTCTCTTAATTTCTGTAGAAGGCAAGGACAGTTAATGTATGTCTCATGCACTTTCTCCCCTTTTTCTTGAAATGATGATACTGTTAGCAAAACAAAACCTCCACCTTCTAGTATATTTTCCAGTTTTAAACATGCATTGTGATGGATGTTCATTTTCAGCTGAAATCCAGCACTGTCTGGTCAATGCTGGTGATGTGGGGTGCAGTGTATTTGAGTGCTTTGAAAACAACTCCTGTGAGATCCGAGGCTTACATGAGATCTGCATGACGTTCCTCCACAATGCTGGAAAATTTGATGCTCAGGTAAGCATAAATGCTGCAGAAATAAACAGTGCAGAGTTTTGTTAGATTTTGTTTTGTTCTGTTTTTCTCATCACATTTTCTGCTTTCAGCAAAAATGAACAAGTCTGAAACACCTTTGGAATAGGGGATGTTCATAACACAGAAGGTTCATTCATAAAGTCTCTTATTAAACTTGCATCTTGCCTTTACACACACACGTGTCACTCCTTCTTAGTAGCCCAATATATGTACTGCATGTCCACTTCAAGTCCCACCAGCTGAAGAAAAACACCATATGGAGATTCCACAGCATGCTAGGTGAAACAGTATGGGGGCACTTGTTTGAAAAGACAGCTTGTATTACAGACTGTGCAGTGGCTCAGAAGTCATCTTCATTTAATGCAATGGGTGTGTATTCCCAAACCCACTTGCTTAGGAGTAGACCTCATTGAATTTGGTGGCACTTCACTCAGACGTTAACTTGCTCTGTAATGTTCTTGACTTGAGGTTCTAGGACCTAGCATCCTTCAACAAACTTCCATTACCAACTGCTTGCTGAGCCCAGGAACCAAAGACTGCACTGATACACCCATATAGAATAACATTTCCCATTGACAAAAAGTTAAGCCACAGTGTAGTGTAGGGGTTAAGAGCGGTAGACTTGTAATCTGGTGAACCGGGTTCGCTTCCCTGCTCCTCCACATGCAGCTGCTGGGTGACCTTGGGCTAGTCACACTTCTCTGAAGTCTCTCAGCCCCACTCACCTCACAGAGTGTTTGTTGTGGGGGAGGAAGGGAAAGGAGAATGTTAGCCGCTTTGAGACTCCTTAGGGTAGTGATAAAGCAGGATATCAAATCCAAATTCCTCTTCTTTTTAAAGGGGTTGTCCCTCAAATAGTGGAGATTGTTATGACACAGCATCTAGATATCCTTCTAGCTTCATGCATGGCTCTTTCTTACACACAGGATTTATTTTAATCACAGCCTGGATCTGCAGACCTCGCAATTCTAAGGATGGCTAGTGAACAGCCCTAGTTCAAAATAGTTTGGCACTTGAGGCAAGCAGAACCTCCTGCAGAGTCAATAATTAAATAACTCCATTTGTCATCCTTTTAGTGCCTGGGTTCCCAACATGGCAACCATGGGCACCTTGTTTTTTAAACTGAGTGGGGAGTTGGCTTGTTCCATTGCCTTTTTTTTTTTCAGGGGGTGCCTGCTTTTTTGTCTTACGGTTTATTCGTTTGGGGAGGTCTGCAGCTGCTTTGCCTGGGTTTGGGACCTTTTCTCTCCAAACCATTTGTACATCGTTGAAGCATCCTGTTATTATGTCTTGTACAGCTGCTCTCCAATTTCAGTGAAAGAGGGAAGGAGCACATTACGATGGGTCTGTGGCATTTGGCTTGACTAGGCAGTTTACAGAACACACACACATATATTTATGTGTAAAGATTTCAACCCCTGGCTAGCGGCTCTTAGCGTGGGTAGGGCGGAGAGCTGTCTTGCAGACAAAGGTGTTCTGTGCAGCTCAGCTACAAGGCTACTCCTCACTTTGGACTTGAAAACAAATCTTTCTAGAAATGTTTAAGCTGCTTCTTCAGACATGTAAGGATGCCTGCTTCCTTTCAAATGAATAGGAATCTATCACCCATTTTCTAATATTGAGACACCTTTGAAAACCTTTCCCTTGATATATTTTTTTAAGAACGGAAAACGAAATGCTCATTTTATATTATACTTTGTACAATAGGATTCCCATTATGGTCCATTGCCATAATTCTCCACATTCTCCAGCCCCCTTGATGCCCACGCAGGTTGAATTAGATTATGTTGAATTGCTTCAAGTATTGAAACTCCATCTAGGTATAGCTTTAGCAATTACAAAATGAAAATAATATATGGAATATTGGTGCATTACTCAGCAAAGAGCATCCCCCCCTTCAAATGCCCTCTCATCGTTTTAATGGGGGGGGGCATTGTTCTGTGATGAAGAAAACGCCAAACCAAAGGAACTTGCGTTCTCACGCTCAACTGCTATGATTGGTAAAATTTGAGTCAAATTTTTAAAAGAGTGTTTGCTCTATATGGTGTACAGAACATGAAATGCTCATCAGCTCAGATGACCTGAAACATTAAGGAATGGGAAGAATGTAGGAGGGTTGCCAGCTGCCTGTCATTCACCAAGGAAAAGAACTGCTGACCAATTATCCAAAGAATTGTTAACACCATTGAAGCATGACTGGACTTCAAACCTAATGGCAGAAAAAGAGGGCAGAATAAGGATAAGGGATCATATAGTATGAGGCATTTTTTATCTTCAAAATCTAACCCTGCTTACTAGGCCTTTTTGGAAGTTTCAGAGTGGAAGGTGTGCCCTCCAGCTTCTACTAATGCCATAATGCTATTGTGACATGCTGAATGCTGCATTTTTTCACGCTAACAGAAGGTCTCTTTTGACTGACACGGATAGGCAGGGTGAAGGACGAAGGGCCTTTTGTTAAAGTATATAATAGATAATGACAGGTTGTGACTGCAGTCCTACAGATACTTAACTGTGAATAAATCCCACTGGTTTCAAGGGACTTAGTTCTGAGTAGACATGTATAGGTGGCACTGTAAGGCCACAGTTCCTTTGTATACCTACTTGAGAGTAAGCACTACTGAAGTCAAGTAAACACACAGGACTGTGCTGGAGAAGCTGTGTCTCTGAAGACTAAAATGACACGTTGACCTTTGCTATGGGGAGGGGCAGAGGGTTGTGTAGGGTGTTGCATCTCCATGCCCTTGCAACTCGAAAACATTGCTTAGCCACACTTGGCCTTTTCTATCTATTGCCACATACGTTTAGTGCCATCTCATAGACACCAATTTATAAATAATAAACGAAATATGCTTGGGTTATGGGAGTCTTCCCCCATAACAGCCTTCTGCTCTAGCGTATTGTGATCTCAGAACATTCATAGGCCTATTTATAAAAATGTAACGCCACTTTTTATAGGAAAGGCCTTATATCATTAGGGGTTTTTTGTATATGATTAATAATCAGTGACGTGTAACTCTGAAGGCTTTCCGGAGAAGAGGTGGCAACTCAGCTGTAAGTGGTGCTTCATGGAGATGAAGACTTGGTGTGCTTTTTTGTGTGTCTTTCTTCAGGGAAAATCCTTCATTAAAGATGCTCTGCGGTGCAAGGCTCACGCCTTACGGCACAAGTTCAGCTGCATCAGCCGCAAGTGTCCTGCCATCAAGGAGATGGTGTTACAGCTGCAGCGAGAATGCTACCAGAAGCACGACCTCTGCTCGGCAGCCAAGGAGAACGTCCAGGTCATGGTGGAGATGATTCACTTCAAAGACCTGCTGCAGCACGAGTAAGTCAGAGCTTGGCTACTGCAGTGGGAGGTGGCAGGGCAGCTCAGATGGGGAGCCCGCTCTGTGTTATCACCAGTTGCTCCAGGGACGCTCCAGTCATGATAAGCCTGCTGTTGTGCGTCCTCACGGAATTGCACATACCCTAATTTTACTGACCTGGGAGTGTAGGGACAGCCAGCGGGAAAAGAAATGCCGTGGGGGCCATTTCCAAACCATTGGCAGGCTTTGGTGATGCAACTGAGCCGAGAGAGAGAGGGCAACGAACAGGTACATTAGGATAGCACACTACTGGGTGCCTGAGGGCTTATCCACACTTAATTCCTCCACTGTTTCAAGGCACAGACTGCTCTTTAAAGCTCTGTGTCTGAGCTCCTTTTTCCCCCCCTCCAGTTTTCCCCATAAAAACCCGCTCTTTAAAGCTCAATCGCAGCAAACAGCAATCCATAGGAAACCCAAATGGACGTTTGCTCCAGTTGAATGCTAAAGAGCAGGTTTTTGCTTGGGGAAAGCCTGGGGCAGAAACGAAACAGCGTTCAGTCATGGAGCGTTAAAGGTTAATGTGGATAAGCCCTTAGTCAACAGAAAGAAATCAATGGCACTGCAAAAGGATTTCCTACTGTCTTGCTAGGCTGCCACTCCCAGATTTATCCCTTGTATCTTCTTGGATGTACTTGGGGACTGATTGATACATTGCATTTGAACTAGGTACACTAAATTTAGTGTGTTCTGGTTTTTTAGTTCAGCTGCCCTCCTGATATTTTGTACAACTGTCTTCAGCTCCAGCTGGCACAGCCAATGGTTGGGGATGATGGAAGTTGTCCCAAGCATCTGGAGGGGTTGGGTGCGGCTGTTCTGTTGTAATATATGGGCTGTGGTTTCTTAACCATCTACAGAATGTCTGTGCGACCTCAGGTGTATTTATTATTTCATAAAATGTATACACCACCTGATTTGGGGGGGGGGTCAAAGCAGTTTACAAAGGGAAGCTTCTTGACTCTGTTCAGTTGCTCTTAGGGGTTTTCCCTCAAGTGCCCAAGATCAGAAACATACCTCTTGAGAACTATCCCAAAAGACATCCTGTGAATGCTTCTGTCTCAGATTTTATTCTGGGGTATAGCATCTGTGGTGTAATTGTTGTTCTTTCTTTGTTTTTTGTAAACATGACTCTGGTTACTCTGGATCTCTCTACCGTATTTCTACACACCTTCTTCACACAGGTATAAAAGTGTGGAAAGATGGCAGGTGGTCCAACTATCTCACATGTACTGTGTGGACCACAGCCTGGAAAACCAGTTTGGAACAGGGAAGGAATGTGTGGATATTATTAATGGCATGCTCAGTCTTTTAATTGAAATCAAGGCTTGTATCTTCAAAAAATTATATACGTTGCTTCTTAAAATTAAAAGATGAAAGGGAGTGGTGGTGCTGGCATGCAAAAAGAACCCTAATTAGATTTGTCCCAATACTTCTTGTTGGTGCAATGTATCCTCACATAACTGGCTTATATATTATAAGGGGAAATGTCAGGCTTCACAAACACACAAATCCTCAGAACATACTCTAACTTTACACCTGCAGAATCCTCCTGAGGCCAATTTTTGGTGAATGCTTGGCAAAGATTGTACTGTTAATATCTAACTTGCCAAAATATAGGTACAAACGCTCTCTCGTTTCTATTAAAAGCTCATTTCTCCCGCTTCAAGAATGGCAACAAAGGGACTTCTAAAACCTGTCTTAGGTTGAATATATCAGTGTTAGTTCAACTTCTTATTCAGATCAGGATATGCTTTTAAAAAGAATGCAGCTTTGACAGCTGTTTTTCTCTAAAATGTGGAAGCATTTGTTACTCAGTGTAACAATCAGCAGTTACTGTTTACAGCAATTCACTATGAAGGAACAGCTCTCCCCAAAATCCTGCTTTTAATCCTTCTGGGATTCTGTACAGGATTGAGACCTTTGTAGTGTTCAGGAATGGAGCTGTTGTGGAAGTAGTATAGTCCAGTGAAAATAAACTTGAACTTCTAGAAGTAAAGAGAAAAGAAATGATTGTTTTTCAAACTATATTCTTTCTTTTTTTAAGAGAACCACCAGCGTAGTGGTTAAGAGCGGTGGACTCGTAATCTGGTGAACCGGGTTCGCTTCCCTGCTCCTCCACATGCAGCTGCTGGGTGACCTTGGGCTAGTCACACTTCTTGAAGTCTCTCAGCCCCACTCACCACAGAGTGTTTGTTGTGGGGGAGGAAGGGAAAGGAGAATGTTAGCCGCTTTGAGACTCCTTAGGGTAGTGATAAAGCGGGATATCAAATCCAAACTCTTCTTCTTCTTCTTCTTCAGCCTAGCATAAGACACAATATACTGAACATTGTGATGCACAGCTTGATGCAAAATGGGGGGCCTTTTTCTCCCCAATTGTTATTGGAAATGGCTGAAAAGTGTCAACTCCCTTAATATCTTCACTCCCGTGGAATCAAACGCCAACCTCCTCAAATTTTTTATTTTTGTGAATAAAAATTTCAAATGTTGAATAGTCAAACATTTCGTAGGTTCTTTTGTGTCAATTGTCAGCACCACAATCATGAGAAACACATTTGATATTTCTAAACTAATCTTGTAAATTTTTTTTTGCTACGTAATCATTAGCACACCTTGATGTTAACAGTCACAATACTGTGGTCTACAGCCAGGTTGTTTGGGCGCCAGATAAGATCATGCATGACACCCCATGCCAGTAATAGCCAAAGGAGTTACAAATGGATAAAGAACTGGGTGGCTGCACCCTGTGGCAAGGTTGGTAAGGTTCCATCCTACCCTTCTTCCCAAAGGAGACCAGGGCTGCAGTAATTATTCCATATGAGTATATGACTGCAGCCTAAATGGTTGTTAAGGATGAGGACTGGGAGCTTTTTTAATGAATGAGTTCTCAAAGAAAGCTCAGAATCCAAATCTAAATTGTACATTCTGAAATAATCATATAGATATTTGAGTATGAAAGGAGGTAGCTAATCAGTAAAAACAAGAACAACGTGACTGGTTGCCACAACTTAAAACAAAAAAGAAAATTCCTTGTGATTCTCAAATCGAATATTATGGCTTGTCTGTATGACAGATGTGGAATGCAGCTAAGCTCATTAGAAACTAAAAGTCTTCTGCTATGAATAAATCAGTATGATATTATGTTACAGCAGTTAAAAAAATACTGTTGACAAAAATGCCAGTGGTGTTTAGATGATCAAGTAATACAGTATATCCATTTTTGGTGGTGGTTATAATACTATTGGAGACAAGGAAGCAACCACAAACCTACAAACAGTTATAACACAAATGGTAAAGGAAAAGCACTATGTTTGCCAACTGGGTTTAATACCAGCTGTCATACTTGAAAATAACAGCTAGGGGGGAACACTCTTACTTCTTTGCCCCTGAAGGTATTTTGTCAAGACTATAGGCTTGCCTCTCAGATTTGATCTAAGCATATCCATGGGAAACATCTGCTGTGGTTTCTAACAACTTAACAGTCATTAGCTTTAATAGTCAAAGCACTATGTTCCACATTGAATTATTCCACTTCATAATGCATAGTACAGTTTATCCCAGCCTTAACCACTCCTCTGATTGCCATTGGCAACTAAGAATTTTACCCAGACTAGTGAGGAGGCTGACGAAGAAGAGATTTAGTGTTCTGTCCATCCTTCAGTGGTCTCTCATGAGTAAAAAGTAGGTGTATTCATTGAAAGGGGGAGACAGTAGTCATGTTCATTAATTTCAATGGGATAAACATTTCCCACAATCCCTTATTCTGATATTGCAGTGGATATTTCCCTCTTCTACCAGAATCAGCCAATTACATAGAATGGGGGCAGGCTGTGTTCCATCACTGTAATGACCCAGAGGAGATGGTGGGTATTGCCCCTCATCAATCTGTTTGAAGGAGTTTGAACAAGGCACCGGCCATTTTGTGGAAGAAGTCACTTCACAAGAAGTCTCCAGCTTCTCAGAGATGAAATAATATGTAACAGACACTGGAGCTGCCTGGCAACAATATGATAAACGGATATGGTTCTAACACAGGAGCCCTTTCTGAAGCCACACGTGCTTGCCCCACTATTACACCTGACACAAGCCCACCACTGTCTCAAGGGAAGGCCTAGATGCATGAAGCCTGTTGAATTTGTACCTCTATGGATTCCAGTTCATGGTGGCTGCCTACTCATATTTAGGTAGACTTACCACCACACATTCACACTTAACACCATCCCCCAACACATTGATGGTCTTGGGACAGGGGCTGGCACAGGGTGAGCATCTCTCCCCACTCTCTGTCTCCATGTGATCTCAATTTCAGGGAGAGAAGCATCTGAAGAGGGCTAATATGGCTCCAATAACTGGTGCAATTCTCATAATATTGGGGGGACTAGTTCCTGTACCATTTCCAACAACCAGAACCCACCCAAATTCCACTGGGAGCACTGCTCTGGCAATAGAAGATTTCTCTCCTAAGGCTTGCCTAATACTTTCCAAACCACTATCTTATCACCTCTCTGCACCTTTTGATCTGCCCAAGTCTTTTTCTTTGTGATTTACACTGAGGGTTTGTCATTGCTGTACTTTTGTTTGTTTTAAACCTGACTTCTATTGTTGATGTTATTTTAAAAAACTTTTTAGAAACTGTTCTGAAAGTCCTGGAACTGAAGAACAGGGTTGTAGGAAACCACAATTCAGTGTGGGGCTGCTGAGCTGCCTTTGTCTTTTGGGGTCAGGCCTGAAGTATATTGAACTACTCAAGCTGCCGTTTCGCCGTAACCTTCCGTTCTTCTGATTTATTTTTTCTCTCCTAGGCCGTATGTTGATTTAGTGAACACCTTGCTCACTTGTGGAGAGGAGGTTAGAGAGGCCATCACTCGGAGCGTCCAGGCCCAGTGTGAACAGAGCTGGGGCAGCCTGTGTTCTATCCTGAGTTTCTGCACCTCCGTCCCACATGGAGATTTCACCCTTGAACCGGAGAAGAAGCCAAATGAAGTCCCCAGATCCTCTATTAGTCAAGGGGACATTATAGTCCACCCTGAACCGGACGCCAGAGAGAGCTCCCGCAACACCAGAGGGGAGAGAGGTAGCAGGCTTCCTGGGAATGCCCAAACCCGCACTAAAGCTGGGAGCCACAGTCCCAAAGCGGCTCACGGGATTGTCGAACAGGCAGAGGAACTGTCTGACTTCTCTGACATCCGGAGGTGAAAGGAGGATGTAGCTCTTCTTTCCCCCTGCACCAGAACCTTCCTCCATTGAGTTCATCTTCTTATCTAGGGGCATTCCAAAATATGTACAATATAGAGGGGTGGTGTCAGGCATAGGGCATTGTGGGATATGTGGCAGTGACAGTGTATGTATTATAAGTAACAGAGGAAAAGCAACAGCTATTGGTTATTGATTGTATCCAGCAAATTCAATGTGTAGGTGCAACAAAATGTATTCATGTAAATCCTTTCATCTCTTCAAAAAAAAGAGGGGAAACGGAAGATTTTAGATGCAGGTTTGGGGTGGTGGTTAAGGGATTTGCCCACATTTTAATTGGTGAACATGTAGACCGGGTTCAACATTGAGTCTCAAGGCAGAAAATAATCTATAGTCTCCACTCTGTTAGAGGCAATGAGGGCTCCAGATCAGCTGCAGAGAAACTCAGATACAGAGCTCTGCATAGGGGACCTTGGAATTGCAAACTAAATTGTCTGTCTGAGCCATTGATCCTGTCTAAGTGACACCACCTGCCTTAAGTGTCCCTTGCATTAGTTTGGGTGGCTCTTAGCTGACCTCTTCTGCTTTTTGTTCCAGTTTCCTTAGGAAATAGGCTGATGAGGGAATCAGTTTCTGGACAAGGACATTTTCAACCAACTCAAAATCATGCCAATTTCTTTTTTCTTCCCCCCCCCCCAAAAAAAAGATCATAAAAGAATCCACCTGGCTTCTGACTGCAGTGGGTTTCCCAAATACCGGTAACTCGCATCTTATGATTATTTCACTTGCACGAGCCTGGCTGAGGGAAAATAAATAAAGAAATGGAGAGCAGGGGAAACCCATTCTCCTTTTTATTTATTTATTTGTTTATTTACGCACAAACACACTGAGCAAAGCTGCGATCACAGACTTACCTGGCTTTGGGAAGCATCCCAGAGCCCTCCCTACGCCTGCAAACTTCCTTAAGCTGGGCAGGCAGGCACCTGGCTTTGGGAAGGAGGCGTGAGGCATAGGGGCTCTGGCAGGGTCCTAGAGCCCTTCTTCATCTTCTGTAAAGCTGGGCAAGTGCTTACTAGGCTTCGGGAAGGAGGAGTGAGGACTCTAGGACCCTGTCAGAGCCCTCATGCCTCCTTCGCAAAGGCAGGCAAGCCTTCAGAGAGCCCGAAGGAGGTGTGCTTTGAGAAGGTGGTGGAAGGGCTTTGGGACACTGCCAGAGTCCTCACACCTCTTCCCCAAAGCAGATATGTAACCCTCCACCCTGGGGGGGGGAGGGCTTCCAGGGGTTCACCCTACAACCGCTGAAACCCAGCCCTCATGTGAGATGCGAGTTTCCTGTACAGCGTATATATGGTAGGCTACAACTTGCTTAGACACGAAGCTCTTTTTTCGGAGGCTGGATGAAAAGTTCTTCTCTCCCTGAAAGCAGGACCACAATGTTTGCTGAGCTATAGAAATTCTGTGCTCTAAGGTTGACTGTGTGTGTGTGTGTGTGTGTGTGTGTGTGTGTGTTGCCAAAGAAATGGTGATGTAGAATAAGCGCAACCCAGCACTGTGCAATGATTTAATCAGGTTAACTACAGGAAGCTTAACTACAGGAAGCTTAACTCGTCTTGACACCTCAGCCCCAGCCACATTTTCTTGGAAGTAACTTCCCATATATTTCAGTGGAACTTGCTTCTCCTAAGTGCGTTTTGGGCTACAATCTCTGTTATTATCCAGAGTTAATATGCTTTATTCCATCTTCTAAATAAATCTCTTTCTATCGTTAACTAAGATCACTCAGGACACTACATTGCATGGGAGGGACTGCAGTAGTCCTTAAATCCACGAAGCAGGTTTTGGTCAGAGACGGTAATGCTACATTAATAGCTCCTGTGGCTTCAGAACGCTTTGGCGACAGTTCCCTCAGCGGGAAGGCAGTATCAGAACAAAATCCCAGTGTAGTGGCTTCTTCTGCACACCGACCTCCTAGGTGCAGGGACTTCCCCAGTCATGGCCATGTGCATTCATGCACATTGCATATGCAAAGCTAGCCCTGGCTGTGGGACCTAGCCTCACTTGGACCAGGAACAACATAGTATAAGCCTTTCTTCCCTTGAGGAACAATAGAATTGTTCATGCAGCCAGGGAATTTTATTTACACTATTTCAAACAAGGGCAACTTTTGTGATTGTGTCAAGCAGTGAATCCAGGTCCCACTGAAGCAACAATATAGATGAAGTACCCTTGTTGATGTAAAATTGTTTGAAATGATCACCATACCATCAGCTTACATAGGTACAACCCAAAAAAACAAGCCCCTATATTTTCATGTCATTAATTGGATCTTATGGAAGTCAGATTTACTTATGGGAACCAAAACACAGAGACACCACTGAATGTCTGTCAACCGATCACCTCAGCATGCATATAATTTATCTTCATTCAGTAAATATATGTTCCCCTTATAGCTTACACAAAGGAAATTCAGGTGTTTTTTGAGGAGGTGGATATAATACCTTTCCCCCCCTCTGTGTATGAAAATTGGATGTATGTGTTCACCTACTGATTCCACATTTTCTTTTATTGTAAATATTTAATGTTTCTATTTATTATAGTTTCTCCATTTAAAAAATAATAAATCTGAGCACTGCTGGCTAAGGTAATTTAAATATATTTCAGGACCTGTGTTGTATATATTAATGCCACTAGTAGATTTTTGTTATTGTTTAAAGCAAGGGAAATATAATTTTATACACTCCATAATGTTATTGACAGCATAAATCACTTATTTATTGTTAACTTTCATTTCTAACAGATAACAAGTGCATTTAACCTGATAGTTTTGTCAAGACATCTGTATAGCCTTACTTCTTGAAAATAAACAAATTATCAGCTGTCCGCTCAAGGAGCCAATAATATTTTAACCCACATAACTTGTGACAACAACAAAAAGTTCTTTTAAAATTATGGACACAGCGCAATTAATGTTAAGCAGTTCTGCTGTATACTTCTGTGCCTGTTTACTTAGAAGTAAATCACAGGGATTGGCCACACTTCTGCTTGTCCTAACACTTTCCCCCAGAAAAACCCACTTTTTGCTGAATTAGAGCAAACGTCAATGGGGTTTTTTGTGGATTGACATTTGCTCAGATTCAGCAGTAAGGAGCAGGTTTTCCCGGGGAAAGCGGCGGGGCAAATGTAAAAGCAGAAGGGTGGGTGAGTCCTCAGCGCATTCAACAAGACTTGCATCCAGGAAAATGGACATTGGATTGCAGCCTTTATAATCTTGCTGGGTTGTATCCAATGTTGGTCATATACAGCGAGGACCCATTGAAACTAATGGACTTAACTAACTTGAATTCATTAATTTCAGTGTGTCTACTCTGAGTTGGGCGTAGTTGGCTACAACTCATGGAGCTCAGTCATTAAGTGAATACATTTCAGCCTTTGAAAGCAGAACTGAAAAGTGCTTAACTGGCTGAATCATGCCGGACTGGTGGAAAACGTCCATTACTACTGCTTTACAGTTTCCATTCATTTCAGTACAGAGCTACTATCCCTTCAAACAGGTTTGACAAATCCACTTAGCACAACACGGGGATCCCTCCCGCAAATCTGGAGAGCAGAATCAATGCAACCCTCCCATTAACTCCAGAGTAGATGCAAGACTGCCTCATATGCTGGGCTCTGGAGCAAGCCAAAGTAATTTACACTTCTGTCTGCCTAAAGCTCCTGTACAATGAGAAACTGTTAAAAGATGCATATCTGAACCCACATATGTGTCCACCACATGTATCGATCCAATGCGCACTTTTGAGAGGAATTGAACCTTTTGCGTGGAGTCAGGACGTGCATCCATTTAAAATGTGTGTAAACCTTTAAACCTTATGCCTAATAAAGAACTTGCCACACCAGGAAGTAGAGGTTGGTTTATTGCACAGAAAAGAAAAGCAGAGTATATGTGTGCTGCTCTTAAGACACCCAAGTTACAAATATGCAAGGAGCAAATCATTCAGTACAGACACCTTAGTCTGGAAGTGTGAAAGACAAACCAAAAGTCTAGAGAAAGTGAGCAGTGATGGGGTATACCTGAACTTGGAGCATGCAGAGTGCAAAGTTGGATTTGAGATCTGTATGCAAAAGTTAAGCTCATCCCTTTGAAATCCCATGTCAGCAAGGCAACAAATCTTCTGTGGCTAACTCTTTGAAACCTGGGGTTTATGAATATTTTAACTATTGGCTAACTTCTATGGAAGCAAGCTAGGAATCCCAAAAGGTGCTGAGTCCAGCAAGCAAGCAAGCAATCCCAAAAGGGGCAGACTCCGTCACAGAATCCTGATTAAATGGGGCCATGTGGAATGGTATTTTTGATGAGGACAATGTTATGTGGCTGCTGTGGAAAAAAAATCCATTGAGTAGCACCAACTCCACAATAAAATTTTCTGCGAGCCTAGATCTAGCTAAAATGAAAAGAAAAAGGAATAATTCAATCCACAGAAGCAGAAGAGGAAGCTACCTAAAAATTGCAGACATTTATAAAGTTGTACTTTTCCCATAGGGGACGCAGGTGGCGCTGTGGGTAAAAGCCTCAGTGCCTAGGGCTTGCCGATCGAAAGGTTGGCGGTTCGAATCCCTGCAGCGGGGTGCGCTCCCGTCGTTCGGTCCCAGCGCCTGCCAACCTAGCAGTTCGAAAGCACCCCCGGGTGCAAGTAGATAAATAGGGACCGCTTACTAGCGGGAAGGTAAACGGCGTTTCCGTGTGCGGCTCTGGCTCGCCAGAGCAGCGATGTCACGCTGGCCACGTGACCCGGAAGTGTCTCCGGACAGCGCTGGCCCCCGGCCTCTTGAGTGAGATGGGCGCACAACCCTAGAGTCTGGCAAGACTGGCCCGTACGGGCAGGGGTACCTTTACCTTTACCTTTTTTACTTTTCCCATAAAAACAGGTGGGTGGATAGGGTGGGTATTCAAATGTGGACACATTTTGCCAGGAATGCGCATATCAAATCTTGAGGCTCTTGTCTTGATATTGCAATTGCAAAGGAGATACGGCATGGCAAACCCAAGGTATTAAATGTAAGAGTTAAACTAGAGCCCCTACTTAACTTGGCCAGAAATTGCAGAGTAGCGGAGGGGCTCAAAGCTAACAATGGCAGCAGTGGTTTCCAGATCAGAATGTAACAAGAAAGGGAGGGAGGGAGGGAGGGAGGGAGGGAGGAGGAAGGAAGGAAGGAAGGAAGGAAGGAAGGAAGGAAGGAAGGAAGGAAGGAAAGGATTTAGGTGGTTTTATAAACTGGTGATTCTTAGGTGAGTTGCATGCTACCTTCAACTTTTTAGACTATTCATTCCAGTAATGATCTCTTTAAGGAGTTATGGGTAGGACTGAGGGTTGTTGGTTTCATTCATATATATATATATATATATATATATATATATATATATATATATATCCTGCTGAATTCTGGTAGAACAGCAAATCCTGGATTGTGAAACAAAACAAACCCCCACCCACAAGTGAAATCTGAATTCTCTAAAGTCAACAATCAGCAAAGGCAAGTAGAGCGCCTTGCTGTGCCTTGGCATATTATTTTCTGTCTCATCACTTGGGGTTATTTAAAGGGATAGGAAGAGGAATTATGAGCAGAGCAGCCCATGCCCTACGGCAGGAATTGCTTATGGCTGCTTGAAAAGCACATTTTAATGCCCCTTCTGTGAGGTTTAAAAATAACTAATCCAATTTAAACCCTCGGATGAGATGGGACTTTGCAAGCTTAAGTTTGATTTGCAGGAAACTATGACCTGTCATATTCATGCTTAAGGTGCATTGCCATCCGCAGTTTATATGCATAATCCTCCATGGATTAGTTTTAGCCATTGGATAAAGAGGAAAGGGAATGTTTCCTGCCAGATATATGGTGACAGACCTTAGTAGGAAATGGTCCCTAGCCAAGCTACAGGATTTCTGAAACAAGATGAGAAGCTGACTTACTTGCCACATGTTGTTCGCTTCTGTGAGTGCTTTTTGCAAGCCTTGGTTTGGGGTTCTGAATGTAATGATCAGACCACAGGGCGATATAGTTCAGCATCCTATTCTCACAGCGGCTAATCAGGTCCTCCCCTCCAAGCAGGACATGAGTGCTATAGCATACTCCCTGCTCATGTTCCCCAGCAATTCAGACATCCTTCCTCTGATACTGGACGTTATACTAGTACCCATTGACAGCCTTATCCTTCGTGATTTCATCTAACTCCTTTTAAAGCCATCCAAGCTGGTGGCAATCACTAAATCTTGTGGGAGCAAATTCCATCGTTTGACTGTGTGGTGGTTGAAGAAGCAGTTTCTTCTCCGGGGCCAACTGTATGTTGGCCATTGCACTGTGTGTCTCATTGTCTCTACCTGACATCAGCAGCTGGTAGGGTAGGGGAGACACACTGTGTGATGACAGCATAAGGTGCATTGCTTGCAGTAGATACCACAGAGAATAGAAGGGAAAGAGACCCAGATCTGCAGCTGTTCTTATATCACCCGTTCTGATCCTTGGCCCAAAGCCAGTTTGTAGAGTTAGATTTGGCCAACTCCAACTGTCCCTGGAAGACTGAAGGGAATTATTTCTGTACACGCTCTACCTTAGGAGTGGCTGAATTTTGGTGTCTTTCCTTTCCTTCAAGGGGATGAGTCTGCAAAGTAATATAAAAATACCTAAATAATGCAAAAATATCTGTGTTAGCAGTTATGCACAAAGAAGTCAAATGCACTGGCTTCCATTTAGTTTCTGAAAACATTTCAGTAATTTGTTTGGTTTTATATGTGTGCGTTTAAAGCCTAAATAATGCAGGAACATGAAAAATACAGGAAGGTGTACTACCTAGGAGAGGTCCACAGCTACCTGTTACAGAGGCCACTTTGACATGTAAGCAGCATAATAAATAACAATAAAACATTGGATATGATTCTAAAGCAGTAAGGGCCCGGCTACATATCTCCATGACATTTGAACTGTTCGTTCCCACATGGCACCTCTGCCATAGCTGCTACCCAAGTTAGACGTCTTCTTAACCATTATTACCCTTTGTTCCATATATAGTCAGCCACTTTGACAATGCCAGAGCGGGAAGAGATGGCTACAATTGCTTAGCAACCATAAAAAACAGTCCCCAGACTTCCCCACTGAAGCCTTCACTAAGCAACTGAAGACAGGGGGAAAGAGTGGGTTGCCCCCAAACTAAAAAAAAGGTAGCGTTCTGGTTTTTGTCGTATTTGTTTCACTAGTGTAAAAACTCCTATGTTAGCATAAGACATGATGTGTAAATCCAAACCTCACAACCAAGGATTGAAAACCATGACTCAGGAATTTGAAGATGAGGCATTATGCAGAAGCCACAAGGGACTTGAATCCCTACCTCCGTCAAAGACTTACGGCTGTAGCCCTAAATTATGAGATTTTCTACAAATACCATGGTCTCTTACTAAAGAAATTGTGGTTTGGAACTGAGCTGGAAATTCAATTAAAAACAGAGTCTGCCTTCCTTGCAAATAAAAAATATAAAAAATCTGTTTCATGGGTTTCCAGTGCAAAAACGGATCATGCCTTAGAACAGCAAAGACTAGGAAACCACAATGTTCTTGTACAATGAGGGAAAGTAGTATTTTAATCCACCTCAATGAGGAGGAGTCTGATGTTAATGTGTGATGGAAATGTGTGGAAGTATACAGTATTTTTACGAAGAGGTAAGTGGTATCCAAAAATTATATCCCTGGTGCCTTATTGATGGCTTCCATAAGAGCCTGAATTTGCATAATAGACAATATTTTGGCCTGTTCGGTTGTGTTTATGTGTAGGTGTTATATAATGGAAGATGAGCTTATTTTTTGACTATAGAGATAAGGCAGTGAGGTAACCTTACCTTACCAGGCCATGAGGTCACTTTGGGCTAATTGCCAGGATTGATGATTGATTCATGGGTTTACAGGATCAAAGCCATGGGAATGACAGGGACTAGTGCTTCTCAAGCTAATAATAGAAGAGGACAGCTTGCCAACTCTTTGACATACCTTAGAGTGGTACGTGATGATGCCATTGGTACTTCTCCTGGCTGTCATATTCCAGTGATCAGATAATATAAATTTGGGAGACTGGAGCACTATAGAGACCAAGAGACCAGAATGTAGATCTCAACGCAGACAGAGGTTCCAACCCAAACCTTGTGAACAGAGAGAGACAGAGAGAATCCTGCTCCAAGAATGACCTTTCATAAGAATGGAATGCTCTGGCAAGGGTTATGCTATGATAGTGCTTAAATTTGCCTTATTGGTTGTGTATATGTATTTTATGTCTAATATTTGTTGTGTAGCTAATACAGTTGCTAAAACGTCACCCATATCGGAAATGTTGGTTTTTGCAAAACAACAACAACTCAACAACTTTTGTGTCCGCATTTTCACTTTGTGAAATACGGCAACCCTATACCAAATGCAACCTATTATTGCATGGGGGCTGCAATGGACCGTCATTTCCTAAGACAAGTACTTGTTGAAGATATGGAACAGAGTCCTTGGGTGTGTTTTTAGCCCCCTATTTCCACTAATCCTTGGAATCCTACAAAAGATACCAGCACAACACAGTTTCATTAACAGAGCCCCACATTGTTACCATCAGCTTTTGCTTGTTAGATTTCTCCACTTGGCAGAACAACCTTTTGAGGGCCTACCAGTGACAATGAGCCCCCTATCCCAATGTAAGGGCCAAGTCCTCTATTACTATGTCCACATGTTGAATCTAACTGCATGGCAAATCTAACTCTAACTCAAAAGAAAGCCAAGAAGTCCTTCTGGGTGTAAGAAAACCTTTTAACCAAAAGGGAAATATACTTCAGGAAGTTGATTTTTTTTGCTCAACACCATCGTTTTGACCC